CCTGCCCACCCCAGCAGCTCCCAGTCACCGGGTGGGGCGAACGCCTGCGATAAGCACCTGAGTACAGTTCACAGACATAGCTGTGCAGAGTTAGGACAGTAGTAATATGAAACCAGTCTTGTTGGTTTTTGTTCATGGCCCTGGAGGCTGAAATCTGCATTCCAGATGAAAACTGAAGCAAATCGGAAGGGGCCTTTTTTTTTTTTCTTTTCTTTTTTTTTTTTTCCTTCCCCTGCTTTCTTTGGCTTCAAGGGCGCTCACCCGAGTTCGTTCTGGCTGGCTGGGAACTGGGAACTCCGGGCAGTGGCACTGGATGCTTCAGATTCGTTACTTCAGGTTTCCATTTGACATTTTTTGGTGATTATGGATTTACAGGCGAAGATGTTTATCAAAGCGGAAAGACTATGCAAAAGAATCCGTCCGGAATTTTCTGCTGAAAACCACTCGCAGCTCGCGTACTGGGACAAGGAAGTAGCAAACTCCGAATGCGCCCAGTTGTGCTGGGGAGGCTGGTTTATATAGCTGCTCTGCACTTTTCAGCACGTAGGAAGTTGTGTGCAGCCAGTAGGATTGCAGGAGTCCCAGCAGTAACCATTGGTCGAATTTTCAACCGAGATTAGTGTGCTGGCACATTTGCTGTGACAAAAAGCCCTTTGTGTAAAGGAACAAGTTAGCAACACTGCTGAGAACTTTTTTTTTTTATGGTGTTTTGGTTTTGGGGTGTTTGTTTTGGTTTTTTTTGCTGCTGCTGAAGTCGAGTTTGGAGACCTGAGGGACGCCGTGGCTGCCGGCCGCAGCGGTGGACCCGGAAGGAGGGCAGGGTGACCTGGGGGACGCTGGCTGCCCTCGCAGGGCCGGGGACCGCTGCCTGTCGCAGTGCCTGGAGTGAGTTCGGTCTGCTGTCTGAATGCATGTGGTAAATATTTCTTTAGCGGTTAGTAATACTGCTAGAAGCAAACCTATTCTGTACTTCACGCAACATGGAAGAAGAAAATGCGGTGCGTGATTGTAGCGAGCTTTCAGACCTGGAGAGTACAGCAGAAAGCGAACCTGATCTCTTTACTACATTTTCTGTGAAAACACTTTTTGGATTTACAACTAGATTTGAATCTACAGCTTCCAAAGAAGAAGCAGTGCTTAAAGCATTTCAACCTTTGCACACCAATATAAATACTCCCGCGAACACCTGGCACGAGAGGAATGATAATGATTGTAATGACGACTCAGAAAATCAGCATGGTATGAATAGTACCAGTGGCCAAGCTGACCCAATGTCTGGCAGGCAAACTGACCTGGAGCTGGAGTTAGCTGAACAAAATGAATTACTTCTTCACCATTTGAGGATTGTACAGGCTTCTTTGTCCGAATCTGACAATGATGACAAGGATGCTATTCTCGTACAAGGTACTTTGGTTCATACAACAAGTGATACAGAATCGGACACAGACAGTAAGGACCTAGACACCGATGAAAACAATACAAGCGAATTCGGACTAAATAATGCTGCTTTGTCTGCTGAGGCGTTGGATGATAACAATCAAAATAAGGAAGAGTCAGAATCAGAAGGGCACAGCAACAGCGATGACACTGTGGATACAGATGGCATTGAGTTACACCCTCCAATTTCTGAGCGGCTCCCAAAAGAGCTGGATGATATTTTGGAGCATGACTCCAATGGAAAAGACAAAATGTTAATGGATGAGCAGTTCAGTTGCTTGCTTGCTACAGGGGAATGCCCTCAAGAACTTCCAGATGAAGAACAAAGACCTTCAGCTAATAATACATCCCTCCAAAAAACAGCACTGGCTGAAAAGACTTTCCAGCTGCCAGCTTTCTTTAGTGGACTACGTGTGAGGAAAAAGGGACTAACCACAGAGGATGGGGAAACTGTTACAGAAATTAAACCAAGGGAGAATGATTTAGCTCTGCTTAAATTACGACAGCCTGTTAAGAAATCCAGTATTACATCAGGTTTGACCACTAAAAAAAAATCAGCTGAACCTAAAGCAAGTCCTACTTTCTTGGAACAACTCTCGCACTTGTTAAACATAGACGTCTCCAAGAATGAAGACAGAACCAAGGACTCTGGTGAAGGATCTGGGGAGAGCGAGGACAGTGATGAAGCTCAAGAGAACAAAGCCTCCGGCAAAACAGAACCACGATTTCCCTCTGAGGAAATGAAATCAAGCCCTGCTGAATCTGCACTGGATGTCTTTAAAGCTTTATTTGCACGGCCTCCCAAAAAAGAAACAACTGCAGATACTTCAGAGCTTGAAGCCATAAAACGCAAAATGAGAAATGAAAAAGAGTCCTTGAAAGCTGTATTTGAAAGGTCAAAATCAAAACCTGGGGATGGACCATCAGACAAATCTGTAGGTTGAATTACTTTTTCTTCCTAAGATCTGGAAGTAGATGGATAAAAAATAATTTCTTGTTTAAAAATTATTGGTGGAGACTTAAGGTCAATATGTCAGAATTCTCCTCTTCTTTTGGCAATCTCAAATTTTGGATTCCCAACTGAAGAGATCTTGGGGCTACTTTGTCAAAATTTTTGATCATCTGCAGTTGTAGCAGAATTCAGTGAGAACTGGTGATAGTCACAGCCTTTCAATTAGAAGTGAGAACTTAAAAATCAGTTTCTGATTTTAAAAGTTCACTACAAAATAGTTGCCTGTATGTTAAGTATGGCTGTGAATCAGTTTTGTTCTGCAAATGTTTACTGTAGTATTATTTCATAGTTTCTCAATCTCATCTGTTTTCTTTCATTGAGTGTTTTACTTTTAAAAGTAATATTTCATTCTACCTTTAGGAATAATTCAATTATAAGAGCTGATATAAGATGTTATGGATGATTTTCAATTCAGTTTGTCCAAGACACAGAATTTAAAGTAATTTTCTTATTATTTACATGCATATATCTGGCTTTGCAAACATTGATAACCATTTAACCTTATCCGAGTATAATCTAGTGATTCCAATTAGACGACTCAAGTTATGGATTAATATAAGCATTTGCAAAGTTAATATTCTTAGGCATGTGGAGATTTAGTTAGGATATTTTTAAGAAATGAAAAAAAAACCCTATGCTAAGTTTTCATAGAACCATAATGATAAATGAATTTGAGTGTGATTTGAATTCTTTAATTAAATGAGTAACCCTTCAGCTTCATCTTTGGCAGATATAATCAGTGCAGAAGATTGTTCTTGTTGGCTAAAGGGGGAATTATCTGAATGATTAAATTTGCAGGATTGGACCCTAAACTTGAAGCTACTTAAGTTAATTTGCTGTGTTGGTTCTACTTTACTTCAAATTTTTATTCTTACATGAAATTAAAAACTTTTTTAAAATCTTGACTGACACCTGGGTAGACCGATAATACCAGTTTGTAGTAAATCACCTATGGGGAGGAGAAAAGAGGTACTCGTTGGCTGTGGCATGTAAGGCAATTGCAGCCTGTGTGTGCCCTTCCCATTCCTGGCTTGCTTCTTCCTGCTTACACCATTCCCTGTGCCGTGCTGGCGTAAGCGTTTGTGTGGCTCACAGCAAACCTATTTGGGAAGCTGTCATCACACAGTGAGGGAGGAAGCACAGGAGTCAGACAGAGTGGCTTTTAGAAATACCTGCTTAACGTCTGGTCTAGTACAAATCAACATTTTCTCAGGGCAAAGCCAGAGAAAAAGGGTCTTGCCTTTCCCGTTTCCTTGCTCATGTGGGTCATTTATAGGCCAACTTTCACATAGGGTTTTGCTGTTGCTGCAGTTGTGTTTATGCAGTTACTCGTAGTAGCGTGTTGTAAATCAGATTACAGAAACGTTAGAGATGTAAAAAAAAAAAAGACGACTCAAGAATGTAAACCTCTTAAAGAATCCTTGTTCAGAGGTTTGTTTTTTTCCCCAGTTAAAGGGTTATTTTAGCATTCCAGTTGACAGTGCAGTCCTATTAACAGCTGCAGCAGTGCTTTGATGTGGCAGTATTACATGGTATGTGGACTGAGCAAGCTGCTGGGGGTGGGGCAGGAATTTCATAAACTAGCTCTGCTTCCAGAAAATTATATGTCAAATGATGTCTTAGGTGAATCCCATTAATGTTTACTTGTAAGAGGAGCACAGATGGGTCTTTTCACTTTGGAAAAGAGATACAGGAAAAAAACCCTAGTGTTCTTGACCACCTCTGTCATTCACCAAAGGAGAGACAGCTTTCCGCACTGATGTGAACAGTTTCAACAAATCATTGTATGTCATATGCATTATGTTATTTTCCTCCTCAAAATTATTTTTCTGCGCTGATTTCTTTGTGTCCCTTCCAACCAACTGAGCACTGTTTCGATCAGTAGAATGAGGCAGATAACCGTTCTGGAGTACACATGTAGAGCTGAGAATGGCGGTTGCTGTTTGGAATCAATTGATACTGCAGACTTTAATTTTTTTCTTGTGTGATTTTAACAGCCTGACCTGAGTCCCTCGGAGCAAGATGACAAGACTCCAGGGAGACTCCAGACTGTCTGGCCACCACCAAAAGCAAAGCACGAAGAAGTAAAAGTAGGATTAAAGTACACAGAAGCAGGTAAAACAAAGAGGTGAAACATTTGCAGAAATTAGTTTCTGACATTTTTAATCTTGTTTAGTACAAAGATGGTGACAAGTCACAGTATTTTCTTATCTGGAAAAACACACCTTATGTTTTGGATATTTTGTTTACTGCTACTTGTTAAACATCTGATTTTTAAATGTAAATTACTAAATCTGTGTTGAAATCAAAATGCTTGCCTGTACAAATTAATGAGGAAATAAGTGTGGTTTTTTGATAAATTAGGTTATCCGTTTCTAATGTGATTCTGTTCAAATGAGCGACAGAATAGTGAACAAATGGAAACCTAACTGCCTTTTCCATTGCCTTAGAACGTGGTGGGCAGTGACCTGCTGGACTCTAGTCTGGCTGCAGATTTTCTTCAGGTAGTGTCCAGGATAAAAGTAATGAATACCATTATTGCAACTTGTGTATAAGCAGAGGAATACTCATATCCACTCAGATCACTTTTATAGCTAGCCATGCATAGTGGCTAAATACAAATGTAGGAGAGGGTGCATCGGAAGGGCAATGCTAACTAGTTATCAGATAAGCTTTTCACGGAAAAATATTTCTTAATTTTTTTGTTATTTAGATAAATATTTACATAGCATATTTACAAGGGAAGAAGTGATTACTGTAGCCACTGCAACTCTGTTTCAAATTTGTATTCTTAATATAAAACAGGAAGTCCTCATTACTCAGAAATTATTCAAGCTGTGGAATTGCCGGAAATATCAACATGACAGGCAGTAGACCATCTGCTCTTCATGTGCCTGGGGATTTTAGAAAATATCACCTAGAAAGCATTAAGTGGAGTTAAAAACCAGGCTTTTCTACTACCTTGCTGTGAGAAATTGTACAGGGTAATGCTGTATGGTTCTTTCCAATTCCAGTCAATATCCATTTGGCCTTGTATATGAGAAAGAATAAATAGGAGCAGTGGACCTACTGCTTTGTATTTTTTAGTGTATTACTTCTTTCTCCCTCTTTCCTCAGTTTTCTCTGCCTTATTCTTCCTTTTTTGTGAAGTGGGCATGATACTGGAAGCGTAAACGTTGTTGGAAGATTCAGAAGGCTTAGTTTTCAGAGGAACAACGTGGTTCTAATATAGACAGAATTGAATTTACAGTGCATCTAATCAGTCTGAGGTGTAGGACTCTATCACTAGATGCCCAGGACAGGTATTCAGTTGTTGACAAGGAGTGCTACAGGCTCTTTCTGTTACTCTTAGATTCTTATTATAGGCTGTATGCTTGCTGTATTTAATTTTACCCAAATAAATATTTTTTTCTCTTAGTGACTGTAATCATCTGTGGCAAAAACATATGCTGAAATAAAGAAAGGAAAGGAAACTAAATTAACAAAAGCTCCAGATTCTACTACTTGTAGAGAAATTAGGTCATGTTTTCCTGAAATTTGAATAGGAAGGACAGACTGGCCTAGAGCCCATGTAAATTGTTAGTCTTTTGTTGCTGTGATATTTTGGGTGGTAGTGTCATCAACATGCTGATGGTTAGTTTGCTAAGTCAAATTTTTATACAGACCAGATTCTGCAGTTCATTAGTCACTCCAGTGTCTGGCAGAGAGAGGGATTTGAATGAAAACAAACTGCTGGTGATTCAGCTGGGATGAGACAGAAGCGGTGCTTTTAAAGGAAACAGGCAGAGACTCTATTTGCAACGCATGTTGAAAGTGCAGTAGAGTTATAGGTGTACCTCAGTCGTTATCAGGTTTTTGATTCTTTCAGCTGTTCATGGATGCCCAGAAAGCAGTTGCGGCAGCAAGGACACTGCAAGCACTTGTAAGTTACATATGATGGATGGCTTTTCTGAGGACTAGGGTGACTGTTTTAAAGTGCTGTGTGCAGGAATTTATGCAGTCTCCTGCAAGTGAAGGAAGGTACTGTGCATGAGTAGTGCTGACATAATTAAAAAAATATTTTGTATTCTGTGTTCGTCCTATTGCTAGGGCAGTGGGGTTTGTGGGTTTTTTAATGAATACGAAAGTGGCAATGCAGCATTACTTCTAAAGTCAGTATCTTCTCTCTGACAGTGGTTGGTACCTTCAAAGTGCATCTGTATACTGGCATTTCCCCTTGTGCCCCTTCCCATACAAAATTCCCTCCCAGCCCCTAGTACGTTAGGAACTTCTTGTCCACAAAGTGGGCTTCGTAAAAATATGATATAAAGTAGGTTAATGATCACTTTTAAGCTGACTGATCTCAACTAGTCTCAACCTGAAACCCTATTTCTTACCCTGGTGTCTTGTCCTGACAGCTAAGATCAAACATTCAGAATAGAGTTCAAAGATTGTGTGTGGCAGAGATGTTTGTGATTCCAATCTTCCTCCACTGATGTTCCTGAATAGATGATTATCTGTAACATAAAAAATGCTGAAGTGACTTGTTCTAACTTTCAGTCAACGATTTATGTTAGTGTTTTAATTTCTGTGATTAAGAACTTCATCTACCAAAACAATAGGAATCTATATACAAATGATAACAATAGGCTGAATTATTAGGTAAGTATTCATTTAGCACAGTTTTAGTTTAGGTTTAAGCAAAATACATCTGTCACAAGTGTGATCACATCCAAGGATAAATCTGTGGACATAAGTCTTTGTACTTCTAACAGGGTACAAGAATGTGTACTTATTTTATGAGGAAGCATAGATTTTTTTCATTTGTCATGAGAAATTAGTATTTAAAGTAACACTGAAAATTTGAAAGTTGGAATACTATAATCTTTCTCACAATTCTGCACTAAGTATTTTATTTTACTTCTTTTGTCACCATGGACTACGGCAGCTATGACAGGAAGGTAAGGATGTTGAGGGAGAGAATTCCTGGCTTTTTGATCTTTTCTTACCTCCTTGCCACGTTTTTCCTCATTGTTCTTGCTGCCTAGTGGAAGCAAGAAATTCAGGCTTAATTTGGCCTACGCAGCAGACATCACAGTGACTCATAGCAGCTCAGAGGAGCAGCTAACTCCCTCCTGAGGCTCGTAGTCTGGCTTGATGTGTGGGAAACCAACTGAAAAGCAAATGGACATAACAAGGAACACGTGTGTGAGGCGGACTAGGCCTGTCAGGAGTATTAGAAGGGAACAAATACAACTCTGCAACAGGTTTTTTTCATGCCTTTGGTAGCATCTTGTGTAGTTGTAGTGTTGTCACCCCCAGCACCTGAATCTGGAGTTGTAAATTTTGAATCAAAGGGATGATATTACAATATCTTGGCATATCTTATGTTTTCTTAATCCTTTAATTCCTCTGTTTCCATAGAGCAAGTCACTGCGCTGTCAACTGGCTCTCTGTAATTAGCACAAGCTGCTTACATGGTTCTCTAGAGAAAATGGAACTTCTTTGAAGTGTGTCAGTCTAAAATAGTTGAAGTTCAGAAAGTCTGTAGTACATTATACCATTTATATCCTGAAAGACTAGAAAAGGGGTATTTTAAATTATAGTTATAGGTTTATTCCATGGAAATCTTTCCCGTAAAATCAAAGACATTTCTATGCGTATTTCTCTGGTCCTAAAGTTCTGTTCTTCTGTTTTCATTAAAAGTTTCTTTTTCATCGATAACTCTTAAAGAGATTTCTCCCATTTTTTAAGCATTACAACTGATAGAAGGGTAGATGTGTCAGCTATTATGTATGGTGAAAATATCTAGCCTGGTAGAGGAGACAAATTCATGTCTATACCGAGTGAATTCATCTGTGATACTAGATCACATAGAATCTCCATATAATGAATGTCTCAGCTGCTGCGTATGACTAGATCACTACTGCAACCTCTCACATCCAAGAAGAGGAGTTTAGACAAGAGTTCTGCTACTCATAAAACTACTTACGTTTGAAGAACAGTCTCCACATTGAGATGGTATAGATATACAGATCCTGTCATTCCTATTAAAAATGCATTTTTAGCTGTTAGGATCAAAATAGTTTTCTTATATAAAACAGAGAGAGTTTAGTCTTTTGCTTAAGCAAAACAGAAATTAAAAAAGTGGTAAGAGAGAAGTATTTCACATTCCT